TTAAAAAAAAAAAAAAAAAGCAAGATCTGGGGCCTGTGAGATATCTCAGCAGGCAAAGGAGCTTAGTGGCAGGTCTGATGCTCTGAGTTTGATCCCTGGGACCCCACATGATAGAGGGAGAGGGCTTATTTCCATAGGTTGCCTTTCGGACGGACACACACACACACACACACACACACACACACACACACACACACACACAGAGAGAGAGAGAGAGAGAGAGACTCACACACAAATAAATGTTTTTAAAAAAGAGGAAGCAAAAAAAAAAAAAAAACCAAACCAAAACAAACACTCTGTTAGCTTTTATCTAGGACTTTTTCCCTAACCATTCCTATTCTTAACAGTATCTGTTGTTTTGGGAGTCTTTTTTTGAGTATACCCATTCTGATTGGAGTAAGATAGAATCTCAAGGTATTTTTCATTTTCATTTCTGTGGTGGATAAAGACATTGGACATTTTTCAAGCCTTTACTGGCCACTGGTTCTTTTTATGGGTATATGACTTTGAGTATATGTGGGTATACATCTATGGGTCTGCATTAGAGGCTAGAGGACAACTTTGAGTATCATTTCTCAGGAACAGCAGTCATCTCCTTTGAGACAGGGTGTCTCATTGGCCTGAGCTCACCAAGTAGAGTGAGCCAGCTGGCCAGCAAGCCCCAGGGATCTGCCCGTATCCACCTTCCCAGCCCTGCACCACTGTGCCTGGATATTTTGCATGGGTTCTAGGCACTTTATCAACTGAACCATTCTCCGAGCCCCATTTCTTCTTTTGAGAAGTGTCTGTTCAGTTGATCTGCCCATTTACTGGTTGGCTTATTTATTCTTTTGACATTTCATTTTCTTATAAATTCCAGGTATTACTCTCCTGTCAGGTGACTAGCAAGCAAAAATTTTCATTTATTCTTCATGGCGGGTTGTCTCTTCTCTCTTCACACTGCTGTTTCCTGTGGTGTACAGAAACCTTTTACCATGGTGCAATTCTATCTCTGTGTTCTTTGGATTATTTCCTAAGCTCCAGAGCTAATGATTCACAAATCATTTCCTATGACAAAGGAAAATTTATACCACCTCAGATTCTGCTATTCAACCCAAATCAGAACGATGGGCCATCTGAGCAAGGGGTGTGTGTGGCTCTGATGTTTACTTAGCTTGTGGAAGGCAAGGGATAAACATCAAAGTCCAAAGGCTGTGTCTCTTTCTGGAAGCAATTCTCAGTTGTTTTCAACGTACTAGTCAACTGATAAAAACAGGAGAGGTTCCAGGATGTCAACTTCAAAAGACTTCATCTAATCTCAGGCTGTTTTCTAGTATTCTAAACCTTTGCTTGCCTAAACGAGGACTTTCTTCAGACATGTCTAATATGGTGGTTCTTTCTGTAATAAAACTTAAATTTTAGCTTAAAAATGAACCAGCTAGGGCTGGGGACCATAGCTGAAATGATACAGTGATTGTCTAGCATGATGGAAGCTATGGGTCCAGCCCTAGCGCTGCGTAGACAGGGTGTGGAAATGCAAGCCAATCATCCCAGCACAGCACTCAGGAGGCAGAGGCAGGAGGATCAGAAAGCTAAGGTCATCCTCGGCTACATAGTGAATTCAAGGCCAGCCTAGGATACAGGAGACCCTATCTTAAAGGCAAGCAAGCAAACCAGCACTCCAAATGAAACTGTAACCTCTCAAACACTGGAAAGTCTAAAAACCTTCTCAACAAAACTAAAGCACTAGATTATATACCAATACTGCAAGTGATGTAGGAATTCAGAGAAGGAAGGGTGTCGTGGTTGAAGACAACCAGAAAAAACTTCAAGGTAGAGAAGGAGCTTGAAGTGGGCCTTAAGGAATTCTTAGATTATAATAGTCACCAAAAGAGGGCTTTAACCCTAAAAGTATCTTAACAAATGGCAGGACTTCCAGAGGCAAGTCAAAGGATAATTCCATCCCAGCATGAAGTTTTCACTGACTTCTCAGCACAAAGAAAAGCAAAGAACAGTACCTTGACTAAGTCCCAGTGATTAAACCTAGTACAAAGACTGTCCTGAATTCTGAAATAGAGCTCTCTGGTTTAGAGGTAAAATGTCTATTTAAAGAGATAGTAGTAGGCTACAGCGAGTAAAGTGCTTGTCTTGCAAGTGTGAGGACTTGAGTTTGATCCCAAGAATTCATGCTAGTAAGCTAGGCATGGTGGGGCACACTTGTAATCCTAGAACTGATGAAATGGAGACAGGTAGCTCCCCAGGCCTCTCTGGATGCCCAGCTTAGCCCACTTAGCTCTAAGTTAAGAGGGAGGCTATCTGAAAAAAAGAGGGGGGGACTGGGTTAAGGGGAGGAAGAAAGAAAAGGAGCTTGGATGGTACCCAAGAAAGAACTTGTCCTCTGACCTCCACACACAGGCACATGCATGTAAGAGGTAATATAGCAGTGAGTGAATAATAGGTGCTTTTCTTTTGTGGACTAATAACATAACATTTGTCTTCCAAGTGTGTGGTTCTCTCTGTCTATCTACCTCTCTACCTACCTGTCTATCATCTATCTGCCTATCTCTATCTATCTGCCTATCTCTATATTATCTATCTATCTATCTATCTATCTATCTATCTATCTATCTATCTATCTATCATCTATCTACCTACCTATCAATCCATCTATCATCTTTCTATCATCAATCTGCCTATCTATCACCTCTCTGCCATCTATCTATCTATCTATCTATCTATCTATCTATCTATCTATCATCTATCTATCAATTTATCTCTTATCTTGTCTCTACATATTTGTCTCTACATTTCCGCCCTTTGAAATTATATTAGTTAATAAATCCAAAGACCTGGAACATTCCAGTTGGCTGAGCTTTCTGGTCTGTGGACTTTGCTGTAGCCTTTATCAGGTAGGCTAGGAGGTCAACAGCATCATTGAACTTTAGGGTTTCAGTCCCCTGTCCCCTGCTTGGTCACAGTAGGCAGTGCTAACCAGACTTAGTTTATAATGATGTAGTTAAACTCCAAAGGCTAAACCCAAAAGATCTAGGTCTCAGCACCCAGACAAACAATATCTGCTCTGTAGACTTTTCCTTTGCTTTAGAGCCATTTGCCACGTTGGCAGCAAAGTAGATGCCAGGCTGTTTACCAATGTCCTTGCTTGGCAGTGATTAAATAAAGGAATAGTGTCTCAATCCTTCCTCTCTCTAACCAGGCAGCGTGATGAGGTATTTGGAATGTGACTCCAGCACAGGCAGGGTGAGTTTCCTCCTCAGAGGTCAGCCTTAGGCATTTAAAGTCCTACTTCACTTCTGGATACAGGGTGGAACTATCCCTCTCAGTCACCAAACACCCTCCTCTCAGAACAGTGTGGAGAAACAGTGTTGTAGTACAAAATGTTAAGGTTTTTCTGTTTCCAAAGTTGCCATGTATCTCCTGGATCCTTATTAAAAAAATATTAAGGAAACATTTTTTGAGGCAGTAAAGGCTGATGCTCAGTAAAATATAATAAGAGAGGGGATCAAGACTAAAAAAGAAAATAGTGTTCTAAGAACATCTGTCAGCTATACATCTGCCAGAATATTATTTTCTAGAATATACAAAGAATTCAAAAACTTAAGCATCAAGAAAGCAAACAACCCAATTTGAAAAAAAAAAAAAAAAAAACCAAAAACAAAATCTTCTCACCAAACAGAGCATTCTCAAAAGAAGAAATACAAGTGGCTAAGAAACATTTTAAGAAGTGTTTACCATCCTTAGCCACTAGAAAAATGAGGATTAGAAGTACTTGAAATCTAGGGCTGGAGAGATGGCTCAGCAGTTAAGAGCACTGACTGTTCTTCCAGAGGTCCTGAGTTCAATTCCCAGCAACCACATGATGGTTCACAACCATCTGTAATGAGAACTGGCGCCCTCTTCTGGCCTGCAGACATACATGCAAACAGAACACTGTACATAATGAATAATTCCCCAATGCATGTCTTCTAAAAAAAAAAAAAAAGTGCCTGAAATTTCATCTTACTCCAGTCAGAATGGCCAAGATTAAGACAACAAAATGCTGGTGAAGAAGTGTGGAAAGGTGATCCCTCAGGCACTGCTGGTGGGAATGCAAACTGCTGTATGAAAATCACTGTGCCATTCCTTAGAAAGTTAGAAGTAAATTTACCATATAACCCAGCTATACCATTCCTAGGAATATACCCAGAGGACTTTAAATCTGACTACAGAGACCCATGCTCATCCATGTTCATTGATGTTCTCTTCATAATATCTAGGGTATGAAAATAATAACTGGGGTGGCAGGAGATACCCAAAGGTGCAATTGTGGTATGGATGGTGTGGTGGTAACTAACCCCTTCATGATGGGATTTAAGGCCCACTCCCCAGGAGGAAATACATGCTCAATACTCTAAATACCGTCAAGAACCTAGGGGTGAACCTACTACTATAATTTTGCTGAATGGACACAGATTGTTTCAATAGAAACATAGATTAATGTCTATCAACTGATGAATGGATAATGTAAATGTACTTACAATTGGCTGTTATTCAGCTATAAAGAAAAATAAAACTATGAAATTTTCTCATAAGCAGATCCTAGCATTAAATTTTTAGATCTGTATGTTTAATTTAGAGTATAGATGGAATATAGGTAACTAGAAAGGGGTGGCTGGTGGCAAGGAGAAATTGATATCTTAGCGGAGTAGAGGTAGTAAAATATTGGTTACATGAAGGAGAATAAAGAAGAGACAGGTTGAGTTTGGGAAAGGGATGAGAGGGTAGGGTAGAGGAAGGGGTGGAGAAGGAATAACTAACATTAAGGACATTTGAAAAAAATGTATGGAAGTCTACTATTTTATAAGTGTCATAAATGTATATATTCATATAAAAGTTGAATTGGGATTACCCTACATAGGCTTCTAACAGATGCCATAAGCTGTTAAATAAAAATCTCAGTGCCAGGTGTGGGATACTTCCCCTTGAGTTGTTGGTCAAGGGTGTTCCAGACACGCCCCCCCCTCCACAACAATACAGGCCATGCTCTTGGTTGCTGACTAGAATTTGATGGTAAGACCCTATTTCTGGAAAAAAGTAACAAACACAAACTTTGGTCACAGGGTTCGGAGGAATCAAAGTGGTCCTGACCAGGAAGCTTTCCCTATTGGCTGTGTAGTTGCTGGGGGAGAAAATTTTTCGGAAGTCTTTCCCAGATGTGAACCCTGTGAGCTACAACAACAACTGGTGTGGCAAATATGACCATAGCCACAGCAGTGGCATGAAAGTTACAGGGTTAGCCAATCTGTTTCTCAGTCAGAAAGACTGGATTGAAGACCTACGCCATAGGAAGGAACAAATGCTGGAACTATAAATCTGGCCGAGGACCCCATTATTGGGGAGATCATAGACCCCGGGGTGAATCTACTGTTACTATTTTTGCTAACTGGACATTGTATCAAACTTCCCTCTAAATTTACATCTCTAAACCCAGAAACCACTGCAGCATCTAGACTTCATCAGAAAAGTTCCTTTGTGCAGTGGACAGTGGTTAATGCAGAAACTCAGAAATGGACTAAGTAAAGAGAATCCATGTCTGTCAGTGTTTAGCCACAAATGAGACATCTTTAATATAGTCCCTCCCCAACAGTGATCTGTAGCATGAATCTTAAAAGTTCTTATTAATAAAATCAAACCCGAGGCCAGTTATTGGGGTCAATGCTGGTAGATCAGCGAAACAGAACAAGCCACAGTTATCTCACCTTGCCAATTCCTCTGCTGGTCTTGTTTCCTCAGACTGGATGCTTCTGTGTCCTCATCCCAATGGCTCTCAGCTGAACTGCTTCTAGAAGCCTGAATGCTTAACCAGCCAAATACTTAACCAGGCAAATGCTTCTAATTTCTGGTCTCCACGCCTTATATATCTTTTTGTTTTTGCCATCACTCCCTGGGATTAAAGGCTGGCTTTCTGGGATTAAAGGTGTGAGTCATCATGCTTGGCTGTATCCTTGAACAGATGGATTTCTGCCTCTGGAATGCTAGGATTAAAGGCGTGTGCTACCACTGCCTAACTTCTATGTTTAATATTGTGGTTGTTCTGTCTCTGACCCCAGATAAGTTTATTAGCATGCACAATGTTTTGGGGAATACAATACCACAGTGCTCAGGCACCATTGCAGAAGAGGGGACAGAAAGATTGTGAGAGCCAGAAGACAGGTAGGACCACAGTGAAACAGTGTCTTCTGAACGTGGTAGGCCCTCTGCACTCATTAATTCCCAGAAGCCCAAGTTGCCTGCACAAACCCTGAAACGAGATGAAGACAGTCAGCATTTCAGTATAGAAGGCAGAGGGGCTCCTGAGCAGCTGTGGACAGTTGATGGGTTCTGGGGAAGAAAGCATCAGTTTTCTTTAAGAGTATGGTCCCTGGTAGGTTGGTCATGTCCCAGTGAATGGGCTACACAAATAGGACTCTCTGTGTTATAAAGGGGGAAAAAAAATAGAACACGAAGCTGGGAGGAGTGGTTTGTTGGGTGGTGAATCTGGGAAAATCTGGGAGAGAAGTGGGGAATAAATATAATTAAGATACATTATATGCATGAAGGAAATTTTCAAAGAATTAATGAGAATATTATATTTTCTAAATCCCATGCTCTCTCCCATGTGTGTATCCCAGTTTTGGATGAATATTCATGTGTATGTACATAAGCAGTGGATGTTGGTATAGGTTATGAAACTATAAAGGAGACCACAGGAGGGGAAAGGAAGCACTGGAGAGGGAACAGAAAGATCCACATGACCTATGTGGAAGTAGGCACTGTGGGAAGCTAAAATGGTGGAGGGCAATGGGGGAGAAGAAGGAGAAGAAAGAAGGATGGTTGAAAATGCCCTAGTGAAACCTAATACTGTTATGGTGGAAATCAGGGTTCCCTGTGTGGTTCCCTGGTCTTCTTGATTAAATAATTCAAAAGTAGACTCAGAAAATTTATTCTTTTTGAGTTAGAACTCAGAAGAGCAAGCAGGCTTAGCAGGGAGAGCTATACGCCCCTGCAGGAGGGAGGGCTTCTGGGAGGTGCAAGAGCACTATCTCACTAAGGGATAATTATTCCTCCTATCTCCTTGGCCTGTCTTCAGGTGGAACCAACCTTCCTGAGGGATGGCCTCCTGGCCAGATGGTTGAATGCTAGTCAAACTTATTTTTTAAAAAGATATTGGGCTTTCTACATTTTACTTTGAGGCAGGATCTCACATTGCTCAGGCCAGCCTTGAATGTAGCTGAGTTACCTTGCACTTATGATCCTCTTGCTTCTACCTCCTAAGCGTTGAGCTTATGGTATGTACCACCATGCCCGGTTTTATGTGGTGTTGGATACAGAACTCAGGGCTTCAGTCATGTTAGACAAGCACTCCATTACCTGAGCTATATTTCTAGACTATTTTATATATTAATTTTAAAAAAATTGTGTTGATGTGATGTGATGTGATGTGGTGTGTGTGTGTGTGTGTGTGTGTGTGTGTGTGTGTGTGTGTGTGTGTTTGAGTGCATGAGAGGGGAAGGGGGAGGTGCTCTCAGAGGCCAGAAGAACCTGTAAGGTCTCCTGGAGCTGGGATTACAGTTGCTTGTAAGCTGCCTATCGAATTCAGGTCCTTTGGAAGAGCAGCAAATGCTCTCACCTGCTGAGCCAACTCCTGTTCTCTACACTTTAAGTGGCACATTCTTTTTTATTAGCTCATGAGCATCTGAGCTGTTTGGGGAAAAATTGAAAGCACAAATTCTATTTTCATCTTACTTCTTCTGAAGAGCTGGGAATGAAGGCCCAGGTTGGGAGGTGACTGGCTGAAGGTCACCTGACGAGTCAGCCACAGAGCAAGGACATGAAGCTGATCCAGCATTATCACCCCTGCCTCTCTCCAATACCCCACTGGAATTGAAATCACTGCAGCAGCCATTGCCAAGTGCTGGGGATGACTATTTGATAGTGGTCCTTTCAGTCTGCATGGGATGGTGCTCAGCTTTTCACTTCATCAGCACCGGGAGACAAGGACACAGCTCCGAGTAATATTTCATACTTAGCTCTGGGTTCCCTTGGCTTTATATTTCTGAACCTTCTTCCAGTTACTTGTAGGGCTTTATGATATAATTTAATATCAGCTTATGGCTGGCGTTGGTACTCAGAAGAGCTGTAATTTGTCCTTTAAATTATTCACCCAGGGGAGTCAATGTTCTTAGAAAACGAGGAGCGGGAACCTATGAGCTTCATCCCAGAAGAGGGACACATGACAGTGTTTCCTCTCTTGCTTGTTCTTTCCCACAATGCCTTATCTCTCGTGTTCAGCCCTGGCTGCTATAATACCTCCTCTTTCTGCAGAACATTCTCCGTGAACAAATGAAGCAATTTATGGAGTATTTACACATTGACTAGTGACTAATTATACACCTGCAAGCTGTGCAACCATTCTAGACAAGCAACATTCCTCTACCTCAGTTTCCCTTAGGAAGGTAACCTGGAGTTGATGGCAGAGGGAAACCGGCCAGACAGTCGGTTCTGGCTCTGACATTCAGATCGTTCAATGCGGGAGCAGTGTATCATCTGTATGTGGCACCTCTGGGCTCGGTTACCCAGCAAAGCTTTTACAAAAGCGATGGCCACGAGGAACATGTGGTATTATGAGGTCATTTGTTGGGTAGGTTTTATGTAGAGCCAAAGTACAGAAGGGGATTGTCATGGTTTCTAGTAGAAATGATTAGAGATGAAGTCATAACTGGTCCAAATCTGAGAATAAGTGACTGTTGCCTGCTCATGTCAGACCTGGCTCTTGGAACTCTGCGGAAGAGAGGGAAGAAAAATTGTCAGAGCTGGAGGATATGGGGGATAGCTGCAAAGTACTGTCCTCTGGACATGCCATGGCCGCTGCACCCATGAACACAGCAGCTGTGGTTATCTGTGCAAGATCAGAACAGTCAGGATCCCAGTACGGATGGGAGATGGGCTCGCGAGTCACTTGTATCACTGGAGAGCTATTGGTTTTGATAGTTGCTGGGGTGGGTGGGGTGTTTTCTTTAGGGGTGTGGAAGGTTTTCCGTGTCCTAATGAGAGTCCCATAGGCATTGGAACGTGGGCAGCACTAATTGGACTCAGTGGGTTATTTCAAAAAGGAGACAGAATGAAAGCGGGAGAGGGATGTGTTAAGGAGTGTGTGTCTATGGTGAGTGGTAGGGGAAAGCTGGTGTAGATATAATCAAGACACACTGTGTGTGCATATGAAATTCTCAAAGAGCACGTGCACATGCACCTGTGTGTGTGTGTGTGTGTGTGTGTACACATGTGTGTGTGTGTGTGTACACACGTGTGTGTGTGTGTGTGTGTGTGTGTGTACACATGTGTGTGTGTGTATAGCAGGCGATGAAGACAGAAGAAAAGGGTTGATAGTACTACATTTACAAGGATGATAAGAAAAGGAATTAAATCCTTTCAGCATTTCATTTTTGGCACCAGATAAGTTGAAATGGATTCAGAAGGTGTTCTTGGAAGAATTCAAACAGAAAATAGACAAGCTATCACATTTCAAGACAGAGTGGCAGCGTAAGCCTGTTAGAATATTTGATGCTAGTGTGCAGAATGAAGTGAGCAGCAGGAAAAATGCTAATTTAGGCAGAGTTAAAGGAGACTAGTCTGGAATACCTGTGTTTTGTGGTGCCTCAGTGCAGTGCTGTGCAGTGCTCAGGCTCTCCCATGATGCTTTTCACACTTGTGTGCACATTTTCGGACGTGTCTCTTGTTGAAGGGTGAACTCTCAGGACACTTGCCTTGACATCTAGGCCCAGCTGAAGAGTTTGAGGTAGGAAAATGGGGCAGGGAGGATCAACCAACATAAAGGAGTTGGTCGGTCATGGGATCCAGGAGGGGTGGGGCGCTGTCCAATGCGGTTCTCTAGAGAACTCTGCCTTGATCCGCAGCACCAGCATCCAAGACCACGAGGTAGCCAAGAGAGAGCAAGTCGGCGCGTATACATCCCAGGTCTTAAGGGGTCCCTGTTTCGGCCATGCCCTGTGTGAATCTAATGACACAGGACATTTGAGACTCAGACCTTTGCCAGCTCTCAGAACAACTTCCATTCTCAGCAATTCCCTTTTCTTTCTTAATAAACTGTTTATATTTCTACCACTGCGTGTCTCTGGTCCAGCTCTTTGCTCCAGGATGTTGATCTCAGAAGTCTCAGAAGATGCCCTCTGGACTCTGATCCACTCCTATAACATTTGTTGACCGACAAAGAATAGCAGGAGGGGTCATGAGGTGATCTGGATGCTACTTGGTTAGTTAGGTGCATAGCAGAATTGGATCATCCAGAAAGAACTCCTGGGCCCAGAGTGTGTACCCAAATGTAAGAGCTCATTTATTGAGGTGTGGTGTTCATTTTTGGAAAACAAAGGATCGGGTCAAAGCATGGGAAGTTGTCTTAGTTAGGGTTTCTCTTGCTGTGAAAAGACACCATGACTACGGCAACTCTTCTAAAGGAAACTATTTAATTAAGATGGTAGCTTACAGTTTCAGAGGTTTAGTCCATTATTGCATTGGTGGGAAGCAAGGCAGCCTGCACACAGACACGGTGCTAGAGAAGGAGCTGGGAGTTCTCCCATCTTGATTCACAGGCAACAGGAAGTGATCTAACACACTGGCCATGTCTTGAGCATATAAGAGATCTCAAAGCCCACCTCCACAGTGACAAACTTCCTCCAACAAGTCCATACTTACTTCAATAAAGCCACACCTCCTAAGAATGCCACTCCCTTTTGGGGACCATTTTCTTTCAAACCACCAGAGAAATTTAAAGCAAGAGTGAAGGAAGAGTAAAGGAAGTCATGAAGTCAAACTGGGAACTCTCTCTAGGGTATGAATATTCAGAAGCACACATCTGAACAACATGAAGGTAACTAATCCAGGAATGTGATAACTGATCTTCTCAACTTGATGGGAACAAGGCAATGTTACAGCCCTTTCCGGGATGATCTGAAGGACACCAGAGAAGGGAAATCTTCACAGTAGACAAAACGCTGGATAGTGCACATACGCACACGTTTTGCTTGGAAGGAGAAATGGCCAGATGTATACCTGTATACTGATTCATGGGCTGTGGTCAATGGATTGGCTCAATGGTCAGGGACTTGGAAAAAGCATGATTAGGAAATTGGTGAGAATAACATTTTAGGGAATAAGTATGTGGAAAGATCTCTTTAAATGGGTGAAGGATATGAAGATACTTGTGTCCCGTGTAAATGCTCATCAAAAGGTGACTTCAGCAGAGGAGTTTAATAATCAAGAAGATAGCATGACCCCTTCTGTGGACAGTCAGTCTCTTTCTCCAGTCATCCTGATAGGATGGGGACTATGAAGACACAATCACAACACCGGTTATGAGGCAATAGCCTGGAGGGCTGAGTCAGGGTTCTCCAGAAGGCAGTATGTGCTTTGAATAAGCATCCATATATGGTATTACTTCTCCTATATCTCCTATTCACAGGTCCAGGAATAAATGGGTGAAATGGGAATGATTCCACTCACTATCACCCCTAGTGACCCACTAGGAAAACTTTTGCTTCTTGATCCTACAACCTTATCCTCTGCAGGCCTAGAAGTTTTGGTCGTGGGTAGGAGTACCCTTTGCAGAAGACAAAACAAATATTCTATTGAACTTAATGCTCAGGCTTCCTCCTGACCTCTGATGCCCTTAAGTCAACAGCCTAAGAAAAGAATCACAGTGTCAGGAAGAGTGAAGGGAGAAAGTGGATTGCTTCTCTACAGTGGAGGTAAAGAAAATTATTATGACTGGAGTACAGGAGATCCTGTAGGGTGTCTCTTGGTATCACTGTGTCCTGTAATTAAAATCACTGTGAAACTATACCAATCCAATCCAGACCCTTCAGGAATGAAGGGATGGGTCTCTTCTCCAGGATAAGAAGAGCCAAGACTTGCTGAGGTGCTTGCTGAGGGTGGAGGAAAAACAGGATGGGTAGTAGAGGAAGGTAGTTATAAATAGAAGCTAAGGTCACATGACCAGAAATGAGGATTATAACTGACATGAGTGTTTCTGTCTTATTTTGTTGAAAACATGTTGATTCTGATATTTTCATTTTCTTTCCTCTATTTCTTTATCATGTAATGTAACATCAACTGAGATAATAGCAATGGTTAAGTGCTATTAATTTATATTACCATATTTAAAAGACGAAGCATTCCGCAGGAACTTTGCCACTTATTCTAAAAATACACCATGCACTCGCAGTTTTATGTATGATAGTTATATCATGTTAGGAAAAATTATTATTGTTATTGTTATTGTTTTCATCTGGAAATTAAGCATGATGTAAGGAGATACGGTTGAGTGTCAAGTTGATGATGGTTAGACTTGTGACGGTTGATCTTGGTTGTCAACTTGAGTGTATCTGGAATCAACTAAAGCACAAGATCCTCAGCACTCCTGGGAAGGATTTTCTTGATCAGATTGTTTGAGGTAGGAAGACCCACACTAAAGCTAGGTGACCCCTGTTGGTGGTAGCCTAGATAGACGAACATGTAAGGAAGCTTTGCTTTCTGCCTGCTTGCTCTCAATCTCACTGGCAAGTTCATCTGCTCTGCTGCTGCTGCTGCATTTCCTCACTGGTATTAGAACCTAGTTCTTCAGGCTTCCAACATAAACTAAAGATCAGCAACTTTAGTCTATCTCCTGGACTCCTCCAGGCCTTCAGTGCCATACTGGGACTGCTGAGATGGTTAGCCTTGTGGACTAAACAAATACAAGATTCTTGGCCTCTCTAGTCTGAGACAGCCATTGTAGGACTATACAGACTACATTCTGTTAGCCAGTCTAATAAATACCGTGTGTGTGAGTGTGTGTGTGTGTGTGTGTGTGTGTTTACTCATTTTTGTTCCTTTTGAGAACCCCAACTAACACAGGACTACTCCCTAGAACTGAGGGCCTACAGAAACCTTTGTTTCCTTAAGTTACTATTTCTAGGTATTTTGTGACAGCAGTAACATCACAAAGGCTCATGTGGAGAGTCATGCAGGCACAGGAGGTGAATTTTCTTGCCTGGAACAGGAATGTCCCCAAGGTGAAGGAGACTGGTGGCCTCAGCCATTTTCAAGGTCAAAAGGAAAGAGGAGGGATGTAAAATGACTTAGCTGACTCTAGTCCTCTACAGTTCAGCTCTCTAGAGAGGGAGGGGCGGCTTATCAATGGTTTGTAAACAGTGGTGGGTGCGGAATATGTAAGAAAACACTGGCTGCTATTCAGGATGGAGTTCTCTCAGACCTAGCTGAGCTGTATATACTAGACCCTAAAAGGTCTTTGGGTTAAAATATAATTCTTGCCATTAATATTTGAAGAGTTTTGAGAATTAAGCAAACTGCCCAAAGTCTTATCTCATAACAGAAGTGAATGCTGTAACCTCCAGGTAGGTGAATCTGATATTTGGAGCATCTTCTAATCCAAATAAGAAAGAGATGATTTTCTTGTCTTCAGAAAAAGAGTTCACATGAATCAATGAGGTTGTTAGCTTGGATTTCCGTATGAATGCGTCAGTTTTTAATGGTGCTGCCTTGCATGGGAACTGGCTGCATAGTTGGAACAGTTGTACAGAAAGCGCTCTTTCTGACAAATCATTATATCCTCCTAAAGGCAGGCGGGCAGGTTCTCCTAGTGCTCTCTGTGCTTGGTGCTGCCATTTCTAAATCTACCAAGACACTGGAGTAAGTTTCAAGTAGTCTCACAGCATGCTGATGTAGCTGCAGACACATACTGGCTAGTTTTAAGTAACTTACCACAATCTAGAATCACGTAGGAAAAGACTCTCAGTTGAGAAATCATTTGCATCAGACTGGCCTGTGGGCATGTTAGTCGGGGGTTGTCATGGTTGTTAATGGACCCAGCTCACCGTGGGCAGCATCATCCATTCGGCTGGCCCCAGAGCTGTAGAGAACAGAGCAGAGGAGGCGAGTGCTAAGCAGCAGGCAGAAGGATCCATGTACTTATTGTCTATGATCTTGCCTGTGAATGTGGTGCTTTTAAGTCCCTGCCTTCGCTTCTCTACAATAACAGAGTGTAGCCTGGAATTGCAAGATGAATAAACCCTTTTCTTCCCTATATTGCATTTTGTCGGGCTATTCATCACAGCAACAGAAATGAAACTAGAGCCACAAAGCTAAGAGGGCCACTAGGAGGCTGAGTGATGGACTTCATATCACAAAACTCTCAAGAGGTAGTGATTGTAAACATGTTTCAAAATGAAGAAATTCTCTAGGGAAATCATAAACTTCCTATTTAAACATTCACCCCTTATCAAAAATTTTACCCCCTTTTAATAAAAAAGCAGAAGGGAGAAAATGCAATAGAAATGATTCAGGAGTTGTCTAAATTTGTGGCTGGAGCTCAGGGCTTCAGAGTACCAGGTGCTCTTCAGAACACCCAGGCATCCATGTGATGGCTCATGATTCTAGTTCCACGGGATCCCACACCTATGGCCTCCATGGGCTCTAGGCACGCACATGGTATGTAGACATACATGTAGGCAAAACACCCACACACACAAAATAAAAATAATAAATAAAAAAACGTTTAAACAGTTATCTAAATTTAACAGTTCACTACAACTTGAAAGTAGAACGTGACTGTCAAAAATGCTATTATAGAGCTGGAGAGATGGCTCACTGGTTAGGAGCATTTGCTGCTTTTTTGTTGGTTTTTCGAGACAGGGTTTCTCTGTGTAGTTTTGGTGCCTTTCCTGGATCTCACTCTGTAGATCAGGCTGGCCTTGTACTCACAAAGATCTGCCTGGCTCTGCCTTCTGAGTGCTGGGATTAAAGGCATGCACCACCACCACCCAGGCGTTTGCTACTTTTCCAGGGGGCCAAAGTTCGAGTCTCAGCACGCACGTGGCAGCTCACAACTCAGTAACTCCAGTTCCAGTGGATCTGATGCCCTTTCCTGGACTCCCCGGGCATCACATGCCTGTGGTACACATACGCACTTCAGGTAAAACATCCATACAAATAAAATAAAAATTTTAAATTACCTTTCTAAAAGCCACTAAAATGAGGCACTATGTTAAAAGAAATATCCAGGATAAAAGCCTGTTGCTTGCTCTGGAAACACCTCTACAGAAGGGTCATTGAAGAAATTAGCTGTCGAAGTAAAGGGATAAAGACTCCCTCATGGAAAGGGGCTAAAGAAGTGAGTAGAATCTGTGGCGAGAGGAAGGAGACTCTCACAATTTAAAGGCTGTCATTCATGTAGAATGGAATGGTAGGAGCCATAAGGAAGCTGAACCAGGGAAGCCTAGGAGAGACTCCCCTACTGGAAGTGTTTTCCTCGGGTGAGGAATTTCCAGTTCTGGTGGCATTCAACAGGGATGGGAAGGTCATTTGTCATGGATACTATCAAAATGATTAAGCTCAATACCCATAAAGCTATCAGCATTTATCACTACTCTATTGTATTTACTCCTTACAACATGAAGTACACTGTGTGCATACACATACTTATGTGTGGGTGTGAGCAATCTATGAAGACTGGAGGGTCTATTCCTCAGTCATTCCACTTCCCCTCTTATTTATTTAAGATTTGTTTTATGTGTATGCGTGTATATGTACCTGTGTGTGCAGGGGCCCTCAGAGGCCAGAAGAGAGGGTGGGATCCCCCGGAGCTGTAGTTACCTGCACTTGTAAGCCCCAGGCAAAGGGTGCTGGGAACCAAACTCGGGTTCACTGCAAAAGCAGCACACTCTCTTAACCTCTGAGCCATCTCCTCAAACCGTGCCTTATCATTGTTGTTGTTGTTATTATTATTATTATTTGAGACAAGGTCTTTCACCAGGTGTTCATAGATTTGGCTAGGTCCTGTCTCCACTTCCTCTATGCTGAGATTACTGTTCACTGCATCTGGATTTTTTTTTTTTTTGTGGATGTTGAGGATTGAACCCAAGACCTTCTGCTTGCACAGCAACCACTTTGCAGATGAAGTGACCTCCCCAGATTCATCACAGGAAGCAGTTTAGTGATGAGGAAATGGAGGATGAGAGATGTCCACTAACTTGACTTGGAATACCTGGTTGGTTGTAGAGAGAAGAGACTAGAATCTGGATGTGCCTGATTCTGAATGAGTACAGGCTACCACACTCCCCATACCTTCCTTGTGTAAGACTGGAAGGCAGCAGATAAATCTCTAAAACAACAGGGGAGCAGTGAGAGCTAAGAATCTACAGGATACAAGAGATGTGTGGAGACTATCAGGCATTTTCATGATTCCCCAGGCCACCCACAAGCTGACAAACTCCTTCTCACTTCTCTGATTGCTCAATACTAAATTATTCTATAAACCTAAGGTATGTGTTTGAGAAGCTTGAGTTCTCTTAATTCGTGCCAAAACATGGATCCCTATCCTTTTAAGAAGGTGATGATTTTCAAATTATGAGGGAGTTCAGTTCAAAGTCATTTCCCTGTATTTTCTTTATTTCTATGGGTAGATTTCTGTTTAGGGCAAGTTCAAATCCCAGAACCAATCTAAATCCAAGTCCTTTTGTTCCTGTGATGTGAGCTATGTCCATCACATCATCTGGCTTTTACACATATTCTTGGGGGAAGTTTAACTATTGGATTATACGTGTGCCCTGTCTTCTATCAAATGAAATCTTTATATAGATTCTTACATATTTGGAAAAAAAGAAAAAGGGAAATCCTCTCCCATGTCTGTCAGTGTTTTATAAAGACAGAACTGGAGAGATGGCTCAATTGGTAAAGTGATTGCAGCGTAAGGACGAGAACTTGAGTCTGATCCACAGAACCCACAAAATGCCTGGCATGGTGGTGCATGCCCACAATGCCGGTGCTGGGGAGATACACACAGGAGGATCCCTGGGGCTTTCTGACCTGCCAGTCTAGCCAGTTGGTGAGCTCCAAGTTCAGTGAGAGATGCTGTCTCAAAATGTAAGGTGAAGGGTGACTGAGAGAGACACCCTACATGGACTTCTGGCCTCTCTACACAGTGTGCATGTGTGTGCACACAGCCACACACATGGATAATGTCTACTTTTGGCCCACTGAGAGTTTAGGTTCAGTTAGAGATGAGAGACCCGAAAACTTTGCAAGCCCCGTGGTATGAATTCACTTTTAAAGGCTGTGTACCCAGAGATCTGTTCCCAGCAGGACAGACAAACAGCAGGCCAGAAACCTCAGAGGACACCTTCTTATGTTTTCTTGGCCTCAAATTGTAGGGGCTCTTTTGGTAATTACAGCTAATGTGACCTCTGTATTCCTGGTCTCTGTCATGGCCTCCCTGACAAACAGTTTACAATGTGTAATCTTCCGGTCATCTCAATGACTTCTTGTTAGAGTTTGCTTGCTCATCCACAGTGACCTGGTTTCCTTAGAGTTCTGTTTGTTGAGTGATGAGCCATCCCGGGCCTCACAAAGATCATGTGACTTGATTTATTGATTTTAATTATCAATGCTATCTAAAATAATCATCTGAAAACATCCGAGTTACAACAGTAAAGGGTAAATGCCCTCACCACCCTCTTGTTTTAGAACCTTAGTGATTCAGAGAGCCCCAACTGCTAATCCTTGCGCTCGAATGCATGGCTTTTATTTTTTTCTGTAGCCAGTATTGCCCTTAGCAATATTCAGAGACTGGGGGACCACAGGTCATGGGATTCAGCTGGGGTTGCCTGCTTGTGACCAGATCAATTTATGAGTACATCTGCCATTTTCGTTGTGTTTCTCCTCATGGTTTGTTAGAATTGATAAGTTTTGAATTCCCAATTATTGGGTATCCACCATTGCTAATAAGCCAATCTTAACTAGCATGTAATAAGCCAATCAAACTGAATTAATAAATTCAGGTTTAATGAACAGAGCAAAGCAACTCCTGGGTGACCCTCAGGAGGGCAGGAGAGGAATCACGTGGCAAATATGGCTACCAGTTCTTAAGTGGCCTGTAGGCATGGTCTGGAGCAGGCCCTGGGGTAGGAGCTGACCCTTGGTGGGCTTTTTGAGGGGACAGGGTCTGGAATGGGAAGAGTGAGACCTGATCATGTAATGGGCCCCAAGCTGGAGATCAACCTCCCAAACTTTTTGGATATATATGGATGCCGATAAGGCTTCCACCTAAACAAGAATGTGGTCCAGTTTACTAGCTCAAACAAGACTAAGGTCAGTGACCGCAGAAAATATTCAATGACTTCATCCAATGACTTAATAGACTTCTCAGAGACTCATCCAAGAACATACATTTCCTCATTATAAAACCAGTTCACATTTGTAACTCCTAAATCAGGGAACTTTGATATATTTTATTGTCAATTTAGCATGTTAAGACAATCCTGACAGATGGGCCCACATGAGAACTCAATGTAGCTAATCCCTCATTGAGGTTCTCTTCCCTGGTGATTCTAAGTTGATCCCAAGTTGTGCTGACAGTTAAGCTAAGCATCACCCCTAGGGTAGTGCTTCTCAAAGTGCTGTGGTGGTTTGAATGAGAATGGCCCCATAGGCTTTCATAGTTCAACACTTCATCCTCAGAAACTGAGAAGGATAAGAGATGTGGCTTTATTGAAGGAAGTGTGTCACTGGGGCATGGGATTTGAGGTTTCAAAAGTCTTATGCCATTCACAATTAGCTCTTTCTGACTCCTGCTTATGGGTCAGGGTGTGAGGTCTCAGCTGTTTCTGCCACCAGGCCTTTGCTCTGCCATCATGGACTCCAGCCCAATGAAACCATAAGCCAAATTAAACACTTTCTTTTAAAAATTGTCTTAGTCATGGTGTTTTGTCATAGCAATAGAAAAGTAACTAAGACAGTGGCCTTTGTAGCTTTTTTTGTGGGCAGGACTATATTCTCAACGTTCCACAATTTCACAAGCCGATCTTGAAATGATATGATTTGAACAACATAACAACCTTCAAATATTAGCTGCTCTGGATCATGTAGAACCAATTCGAACAAGATATTGCCACATAGTTTCTCTCAAAATTGGCTTCTAGCCAGGCCTGATGGCATTTGCCTGTATTTCCAGCACTTGGAGTCAGGGGCATTACAAGTTTAAGGCCAGCCTGAGTAACACAACAAACAACCCTCTTTTCAAATGAACAAATGAACCAAATGAAGGAAAAGAACTGTAGCTGTCAGATTTTTTTTTTAAGGAAATGTAAATTGTCATGTGTTTTAAATAAAGACCAAATAACTGTTGGGTAGAGTGTGTGAACAAGGGTTTGATAAAGGGATTGGTGAGAGATCAAGCCACCACAGGGAACTGGATGAAAAGCACCTTTTATTTCCAAAGAATCTAGACAAGACCTGTTACTTCAATATTCATGTTGCACAACGTCATGAAAATGTCTTATACATTACTGTTATTTGAAGTTTCTATGTGCTTTATGCAAATGCTCTGAAAGGGTTTCTATATGTTTATGAGCTTAGGCCTAAGAATTTTTTTTTATCTAAATTTAAATTTAGAGCAGTGTCACTACAGTAGGTTTAAGTAATACTATAATCAAAATAGCTTAAATCAAAACTATAAAAGTCATTCTTGTGGAAACACTAGGGGACAGTGGCAGGACATTTCCATTATATTTCTGAGTGCATTGTGCAGCATTCTTAAATATTAAGCTAGAGTTTAAAACTGATTTGTACTCTATAGCTATGTATCATCTACTAAATTTGCAGTGACCCCAGGCTCTGTCTTGGAAGTATTAAAACTCATATGGGTAATCATGAGTTGACTGTGTTTAAAATCACTGCAGCTAGATAATAATAACCTTATTGAAATATTCCATTATAGCAAGGTCAGGAGTTTTTCCTTCTTTATTTATAATATCTTTTTCTTAAAAAAAATCATATGTAGCATGCACATGGTACAAGGTGTGGCTTCAACCACCCACTAACAGCTGTGTGTGTGTGTGTGTGTGTGTGTGTGTGTGTGTGTGTGTGTGTGTGTGTGTGTGTTGTGTATGAGGAGGCCAGAAGATATCCTCAAATGTCAGTCATTCTCAGGTGCTTTCCACATTACTGCTTTGGAGGCACAGACTCTCATTGGTGTGGAGCTCTGTAATTCAGCTAGGCTGACTGGCAGTAAACCCTAGACATCCACCTTTCTCCACCTTCCCAGCGTTGGGATTGTAAGCCCATGCCACCACACCTGGCTTTTTATGTGGGTTCTGGGGCTGGAACTCGGGTCCTCAAGCTTTTAAGTCCAATGCTTCACCAATTGAACTATCTTAGGATCTTAATTTCTGGGCATATTTGCTCACTTGAGTTGTAGATTCACATTTCCAGCGCTCTAGAGGGCATTTCAATCTGAACATTCAAAGTCCTTCAGAGTCCTTCAACCCCACCCTCAGCTCTGACTTCTTGATCTAAACCAACAGGGCCGTTCCGCTGAGCTTCTCTGGCTCAGAACTTGGAGGCCACTTCCACTTAGTTCTCTTTGTCACTCTCACCTCGGTGGCCAGTTAGCACTGCCAATCCTGTGACCTCTGCCATTGCCTCAGTGAATGCTTGCACCATCTCCCAGCTGACACCTGTAATCCTGCCACCCTCCATGCCCTGCCATTGGTCACCTTCCACACCAGTCTCGATTAAAGCAGGGCATGTCTGCTCTCCAAGGGAGCTCTCAGTTAGCTGTGTCTGTTTCCATGAGCCGGACTGGCTTGCTTTACTGACACCTCTGCTTCCCTAGACGATTTTATCGAAGGTAAGCACTCTCTCTCATTTACTTCTGTGTCTAGGTGAGTTTCGGGCTGCTTACCATATGCAGTTGTTGACAGGGCTGTGCAGAGTGGCTAAGAACACAAGCACTGGAACTGACCCGATGTGTGTTGAATTGCTGCCTCCTTTGCTCCTTTTTCTATTGCCAAATAATGCCAGACAAACTTAGAAGAAGCCAGTGCTTCTGAATTATGCCTGCATGAGTGTTTCTTCAGAAATACATTAGGATTATACAAGGACTTTACCGAAAGAGCCCAGGTCTGTCCTTCAGCTTATTAAGTTGGAATACATAGAGGGTCTAGCTTGGGTCCTAAAAAGATGTCATACAGAGCACACGCACATTACTTCGATAAATTTACAGGTGGTCCTAATACACAGTCAGGGTTGAGAACCACTCTGGTGTCTAATTCAGGAGGGTTTTGAACACATGGTATAAGCGTGAATTTAAAGGCTGTCGAGATGGTTCGGTAGGGTTGTACAATGCTTGCCATGCGGGGGTGAGGAGGAGTTGGATCTGATTAGAAGTAGTTACTGAATAGAAAGATGGGCATAGTCTTTGTTTTTAATGTTTGGGTGCTTTTAATTTGGGTAAGATTTCCAAGTGTCTGGTTCTCAGAAACTGAGAATCTGGCTTAGTGAAGTGTCACCCGGAAGCAATGATTAACGTTCAGTGTCCCAGTGTCTCCCTCCAGTGACCTTTGTTGATGTTTGCTTGTATTTAGCTACAAAGCTTTTATTCTTTCCAACTGGCCTAATGGTCTGTTCCATTGAAAGAACAAACAACATGTAACATAGGGCCGAGGGAGCAGCAGAACTATCATATCACTGATATTTCTAACAGTTAAAAGGACTTTAAAAGCCAGGCGTGGTGGTGCACACCTTTAATCCCAGCACTCCAGAGGCAGAGGCAGGCGGATCTCTGTGAGCTTGAGGCCAGCCTGGTATACAAAGCAAGTTCCAGGACAGCCAGGACTGTTACATAGAGAAATCCTGCCTCAAAACCAACCAACCAACAAAACAAACAAACAAACAAACACCAAAACAAAGAAAAAATAACTGTAAAAATCACCGGAACCATTATTTCACTTAATAGCTATAAAAAGAAAAACCTAGAAAATGGACATATTGGACATGACTACATACATGCAGTCAGTGCCCAGACACAGCTGAGGTTACAAAAAAAAAAAAATCACCAGCAACCCAGTGGCACGGAACTAACTTCAAAGTAATCCAAAGTAAGTATGATTTCACCACCCACTTAATTCATATCCTGACAGCAGTTTACTAGGGATTCAACTTGGCAAAAGAATTTTAGGGAGGATGGGTTTATTTTGGCTCACATTTTGAGAGGACACAGACCATCATCATAGGAAAGGCATGGCCGTGGGTGTGAGGTCACACTGAATGTGCAGTAAGGAAACATGAGTGCGGATGCTCAGTGAGCTTTCTCCTATTTATTCAGCTCAAGACCCCACTTCAAGGAATGGTGCTGCCCACATGCAGTGTGTTTCTTCCTTCTTTCCTTAAACTTCTCTGGAAATTCCTCCTTAGACATACACCCAGAGGTGTTTCCATGACGATTTTAAATTCCGTCAAGTTGACAAAGATGATTAACCATCACTTGTGTGTGTAAACAGAGGCAGAGTTTTCTGTCCGGATCGCCCAGTCCCAAATAAACAGACAAAAGCTTATATTAATTACAAAATGCTTGGCGGTTAGCTCTGGTTTATTATTAACTAGCTCTTACATTTAAATTAACCCACTTCTGTTCATCAATGTATTGCCACGTAGCCATGGCTTTACCGGTCCTCTGGCATCTTGCTTCTTGGGCAGCTGGCTAGCATCTCTCCCACTGGATTCCACCCTCCTTCATCCCAGTCCTCAGTTTGATTGTTCTACCTAACCTTATCCTGCCTTGCCACAGGCCAAACAGCTTTATCAACCAGTGCAAGTCAAACATAATCATACAGTACAGAAGGATCATCCCACAGCATGTGTGCTTTTATTTTTCCTTAAAAAATTCTTCATCTGTGCAGCACAATTAGCTCAGATCTTCATATACTATGCATTACAAATGTGCAGGCATTAAATTTAAGAGGTAGAGAAAAACATTAGAAATATAAGGTCATATTAATACATGCTGAGTTTAGTTTCTCTTTTAATTTTCAGAAATAAACGTGATAAAAGGGCCAGAAACAGTTAAAAAAAAAAGTACATTTGATTGTTTGCCATTTCAAAGAACAACACCACAACAACAAAGGCATCTAACCAATAGCAGTTACTTTAGGTGCATATTTCCTACAAAAGTCTCCTTAAGACCAACGTCATCAGACTACAGCGGTAACATATTTTTGGCTGGGCCCCCCAAAATGTGATACATGGAACAGCCCAGTGTGGAGAGGTAATCAAGACAGATTTTGGTATTGGGTTTCAAAAATACACTATAGAGGAATGTAGTGAGGGGCAGGAGTATGATCAAAATACATTGCATACATGCATGAGATTCTTGTTTTTAAAATGTGGTTTTTTTTGAGGATTTCATACAATGTTATTTTGATCATATTTATCCCCCACTACCTCCCCACATCTCCCAGATCCATCCTCCACGTCCCCACACAAACTTCGAGTCTTCAAAAATTTCAAGGAATAAAACAAAACAAAACAGAACTTCCCTTTATCATTTTTCATCCAAAACAAAAGTTCATCTGCACAGTCTCCAAAGATCTGTTCACCCTCTAATGACTGGTTCCTGTTCTAAAAGGAAGGCCTTAGCTGGCGTGCTGGCGCGCTGGCGCACACCTTTGATCCCAACACTGGGGAAGTAGAGGCAGGCAGCTCTCAGTGAGGCCAGCCTGGTCTACTTAGGTGGTTTCAAACCAGCTAAGGCTACACAGTGTGACCCTGTCTCAAAAAGAGGATGTTCTTTAATTCAAAGGGGACGATGATTTCGACAGTTAAGAGGTGTTAAGGTTTTGTGTTGCTTGTTCTTTGGTGCAAATCTCTATAGAGCCCGGGCAATGAGAACAGCTGCCTTTAATACGTGTTCAGAAAGGATATTCAGGCCCGACTCTAGGGAGGGAGTAAGCGGAAGGCGAACAGTGCAGAACCCTCCACCTTGCTCACCAGCAAGGCCCACGCAGAGGGCGGAGCCTCGGGCCGCGCGTCCGTGCGTGCGTCCGTGCACGATTCCCTTACTCCGCCCACAGAATCGAGGCGCCCGTCAGAAACCTTGACTGCGGAGTCCGCCAACAACAACCGATTCCGCAGCTTCTCATCCCAGACAAGGTCCCCGCCTCCTTCCAGCCCGGAGTTTCCTGCAGACCGGAAGTCCTTTTGCCCCGTCTTTAGGGGCGCGCAGCCGCAACCGGAAGCGCCTCTGCCCCTACCTTCTGCGCAAAGCGCCCGGTCCGCGCAGGCGCAGTGCGGCTCCGGCGGAGCTGTGGGAGGGGAGTAGGTCCGGGGGCCGGTCCCTGAAGATGGCGGAGGCGGGGGTGAATTGGGGGTCTCCCGGCTGGGCGCAGGTGAGCTTATTTGGAAGGGGACGGCTCGAGGAATGCCGTGGCTTTCGGGAAGAGGAGCTATTTATGCTTTAACGTTGCAGGCTGGACATCCTGGTGGCAGGTGTTGGGGGATCCAGGACCCGCAGGTGGGGCCTGCTGGGCGAGGGGACCCGGTTTACCTGGAGAGAGGTCAGCGGGCTCTAGAAGGGGGCAGCGGGCCCGGGCGGGGGGCAGGCTCTAGGGGGCGCCGAGGTCTCCGGACAGAGGAAGAGTGTCCGAGTGGAAGACGGCTGGAGGACGGCGGGAAGGGCGACCCTGGAGGTCTGTTTGGGGACGGAGATGGACAGGCTGTCTAGCGTACACCTGACAGGACTTGGATGACTTGTAGCCAGGGAGAAAGACTCAGGCTTGTACAGGGGATGGGTCGAAATTAGGTACATAATCGTGGTGAGTTTAGAATCTACCGAAATAAGAGGACACTCAGTTAAAGAGTAGGGATTTGGGATCGGAAGTGAAACCCTTTTAGGTGGATCCGTGGGTTCAGCCAGAGAGAGCTCTTGCCAGGGCCTAGAAGTCGGTTGGTGACAGTAATGGGGTTTTTAGGGTCGTTCAGTGGGGATGAGCTGCCTGGTAAAGGAAAACAGTGCTTTGCTGAGGATGGGGCTAGGGACGTGAAAAGGGTGTTAAAACTTGAGTGAAAATAACTCGAGTCCTGTTAATGTTGGGAAAAGTTGTTCGGGGGTGGTGTTAGCTATGTCGTGGGGGGAAATAGACCCTGAAGGGCTTGCTGTTTTGTAGGATTGGTGAGGAAATTCTTGGAGAAAGAGCAAATAGGCTTGACATTTGGGCCACTGAAGCTGGCTAGCATCGGCATCGCAGGGAAACTGACCGTGCCAATGAAAGACAGGCTCCAGTCCTGGGTACAAAAAAATGAAGGCTTCCATGCCGTGTGTGTCCCGTTTACACCCCCACCCCCTCACCTTTGGGGTTTGGCCCTGATGGTGAACCACTGAATGAAAACGAATAAAGGGGTGCCCCCTACTCCTCAGTGCCCTGTAGGGAAAACAATGAGCTGGTGTTCTCCTGTTTTCTTCCTCCATTCTTTTTCTGGATTTGTAATCCTAGTGGTTTTATTTGTTTTCGTGGTACTCAGCTCAACAATCTGTTATGGAATGACCAGTCTGTGAATCATTTGTATTTGGGGAAAAGGTTGATGCTTTTTAAACTGATAATTGTGTTTTTAGATGAGGACATTGAAAGGGAAAAGACAATGTGCAGTTCAGTAAGAATAGTGTTTTCATTGTTTCCAGAAAATTACCCTCAAACAGTAGAGTGACATTTTCAAGGACTAAACTTTCTGTTTAAAGCAGTAAGCTATGTGACTGTTGCTTGCTTAGTTTTTTCTGTATTTAGGTTTTAATGTGGAGAGAAAAGAGCTTCAGTATATTCAGGGCATACTTTTTTCTCTCCAGAGTTCAAATGCATCTAGGCTGAGAGTCTTTTCTATGTGCTTTTCTTTAAGGAGGGTTAAACCGTGTCGTTGAATTGTGTTTTTGTAATGCTGGTGCTTGTTCTGTTTTGTGAATGTTGTTTTAATGAGCGCAGCATGTGTTGAAAAGAAAAAGGGCGGTAGTAATTTACCTTTATTATTTGGTGATGTATCTGACTCTTTCCCTGAAGAGGCACTCATCAGCGGATGCAAAAAACTTACCAATGTGACCACTAATTGCTGGAAAATGAATAATCTTGTTTGCTTATAATTGTTAATAATCAAATGGTCCTTAAGTTACTAGATTTTAACCAGGTGTGGGGGTGCATGCCTGAAATCCCAGTACTTGGGAGGTGGAGGCAGGAGAATCAGAAGTTCAAGGTCATCTGTGGCTATGTATTGAGTTTGAAGTCAGCCTGGGCTAATGAGACCCTGCTTCAAAGACAATCAAAACAAAAACAAAAACAAACAACAACAACAAAAACAAAGCCTAGATTCCAACTGGTTGTTCCTCTATTTTGTTTGTGTGTGTTTTTTTTCAAATGCTTATTACCTATAAGTTGTTTTGGGGGCCAACATAAACTTCTATTTACTTGTGAAATGCCTAGAATTACTTATGCCTCTCTTTTGTCTGAAAGTAATGATATTAGTCCATTAACACGAATCACACGGGACATTATTTTTCCAGGTTTGATAATTTGTCATGGATCTTGCCAAAACTGTGTGAACTCTTTTTCTGTGTTCATTCATATACTTTATGGGAATTGTAGGTCAGGGCTCAAGGTAGAATACTGCCTGTCCTCTGGTAAGTTTTCTCTTAGATTGTGCAAAGCATTGTCTTTTAGTTAATAGTAGCTCCTGAATAGGACCTTAAAAGCAGTTTCTTGTGCGTCACCTACATTGTTCATGAGGTGTTTGTGAAGGGCAGTGTGGAGCGGACTTTGTTCACGGAGGTTGCCAGGTTAGCCCAAATATGGCTACCTGGTAACCACCTGGCCATCTCGCAGTTTCCCAGCCTATTTGAAGCCTGGTTTGGCGGCCCAAGTCTGTGATCCCCACACTCTGGAAGACAAGGAGGGAGAATCAAGAGATCTGAGGTCAGCCTTGTCTGCATAGTGAAATCTTGTTTTAAACAACAAAACAAAACTACAGATTAACCTCTCTGACTTTGTACAATGGGAATTAAAAACATCTGACTATTTATTAACATTGACTCATCAGGAGCCATTGAGGTATTGTGCTTTAAAATTATTTGTAATAATCTAAGTTTTTTGATAAAATTTAAAAATTTGGAGAACCAAATTTCCATTTGATTTAAGTGTAATATTTAAAAATATAGTTACATTTGTTTTAAGAAAATGTGACTCGCTAAAGGGACTTTAAAATAAATGACGCTACATTTGTTCCCAAAGCCTTTAAAATACCCCACCCTCCTAGTGCAGTACAGAGATTATAAGCATGCTTTCTTAACTGTATTTGTCAATTTTTCTTTATTATTCCTGTTACCATCAGTGTATATGTGGGGGAGAGACAGCACATGTGTGGATGCTGGGGCAACTTTTGAGGAGTAGATTCTTTGTTTCCACCTTGGGCTTCTGGATCTGTTACCCCGGAGCCGCCTCCCCAGGCCATTAAACATGGTTTTCTTCTAATAGAAACTCCACTGTTGTCCAGGAGGTAGTGAAGATTTTTCTGGGATTTCCTGTTTGACCAACCTGGTTATTGTACGCATTTATATGTAATTGTCATAGAAAGATCCAGAAACAACCCCCTGCTCCCCAAATGCAGTACTGCACTGCGCTTTGTTGTGTTTTGAGGCAGTGTCTCATGCCTCCACGTCTAGCTTTGAACTTACTGTGTAGCTGACAATAGCCTTGAGTTCCAGATCTTCCTGCCTCCACCTCCCAAGTGCTGGGATTGTATCCCTGCTCCAGGATGCCCAGCTAAATTCACTCTTTCCTGGAGTTGTTAATTCACCTGAAGACTTTGTGACACTATTAAAGTGAGAAAGAACAGTTAGGTTGATTGTGCCTCCCCCCCTTCCCCCCTACCCCCCTCCCTCCCTCCTTCCCTCCCTCCCTGCCTCCCTCTCTTCCTCAACAAGTTTGGGCCACCACACCGGCCTGCCTGCCTGGCTTGATGGCCCATTGTTGACTTTGGATACTGGAGAATTTTGAGTATGTGTATGAACTCTGAAAAAATGCATACATACACTTTTTTGTTTTTACTTTGCATGGACTAGATGGTCTCCTGGCCCCCTTCCAGTCCTTAAATTTTAGGACATTGATGGTGAAGTATTGTAGCCTTTATTTTTGTCCCTGGTAATTATATATCATTGTGCTGTGATGTAACCACAGTTAGTCCTTTGGTTCTGCTTCAAATAAACATGAAACAAATGCTGTGTTCTTTTTCAAGAAGACTTGTGGGGGTGAAGTAGGAACTGAAGAAGGGCAGCCAGGAAAGGTCAAATAAACAGCAGTGGAAAAACCACAAATGAACGGCTCCCAAGGTCTTCAGGAGACCGGCAGGGTGAGGAAAGAGTCTCCAGTAATCAGCAGCTCCCTTGGAGGACAGAACCTCCCTCAGGGGATTGGGAAATACTGTGGGTACAATTTTGGGTATCACAAGCAGGGGAGGCCTGCATTTAGTGGCCAGGAGCCAGGGATGCTAAATAATATGCCAGGCTCAGAACAGTTTCCACACAGCAAGAGATCGCCTGACCTAAACTCAACAAGGCTTCGCTGGCAGTTTCTGGCCAGCTATCTCTGGAAATGGATGGGACTAGCTAATTAAAATAATTTATTTTTCTAAAAATATTGTTGAACCAAAGGTATATGTTGCTGTTAATTCCACTTTGGAAAGATTCATGGGTTCTTGATTCAAGTGGTTTCTTGACTCTGTTACTCATGCTGTGTGGAGGGCTAAGATGGCTATGCCTGCTTAGAGTCTAGGCAGGAGAGCACACTGTTGGTTGCATGCAGTGTGGAAGGGAGCCATTTGTGGTATTTTGTTGTTTTCTACTTTAAAGCATCTTTTTCACCTTGATGTAGTGTATGTATATTTCCATTCCGTAGGGCTGGAGAGATGGTTCAATGAGGAAAGACTCTGGGCTTGGGCCTCAGCACTGCACAGTCGGGTTTGGTAGCACACATAATCTCAGCTCCAGGAGTAGGGGGTACATTCATAAGGGGGTTGGTGGAGGTGGGAGGATCAGAAGTTTAAGACCAACCTTGGCTAGCCTGTGCTATGTGAAACCCCACCTTAAAAAAAAACAAAGCTTATTGTT